AAAATTGACAGCTTTGCTCTTGGTCCGTAATATCATCTTTTTAAGCGGTATGTGTTTATTTTGTTGACTAAAATGCGGACCGAGACCAAAACTGTTCTTTCGACTTGATATATTTTCAACGTTAGTAAATCACATCCTACTAAGTTAAATTTATACCTCCGCAAATCATTCCTTCCAGATAACAGAATCAAATACAAATACTAACGATGGTATCCGAATTCGTCCTTAGCCAAACGACTCCACAAGATCACTTTCTCCAGGCATCGAAAACATTTCCATTCGTCCAGTGTTCTCAAAATTACCCTCAAACAGCCAAACAATTTCCCTTAACAGCCAATAATGACACAAAATCCACCTTGCAACACACTTGCAACTGTTCAAACTTCTAACATCGAAAGACCCGATCCAAGAGTAACACACCACGATGTTTACCATGAATTTGACTGCAACCAAACCACCAACCATCTTTCGTAGAAAAATTGTTGTTCAATGAAAACACCTCTTAACATTGCATATCATTCAAAAACGATGTCACACGACAAAGCTTCCTAGAAGCCACAAAAATTCGTCCAAAGATAATTTTAATCAGACATTCATCTACAGAAAGCACCGAGCAAACCAATCCAGAAAAATATTGTCGGCTCACTCAACAAATCATGAATCATGCTACACAGCTTGTCGTTAAAGAACAGCTCAAATCAAAATGTTTGGTGCAATTCATCAGTACCTCAAGCAATATTTGATTCAAAATTTGTCCACTCACTCTCGTCGTGAAGTAACAATAACCATGATCGTGCTCAGTGCACAGGACTCGTTCTAGTGGTATCATTGTTGTTGGTTATTATAGAAGGCTTTTCCCTAGCGCATCCGTAAAAACACTCGGATATTCCATGTTAATATGTACCTTTCAATTCAAATATGTCATGTTCGGCTGACAAGTAGCTTTCCTTAGCTGGTCCCCCCCAAACAATTGTTGATAGAGAAAGTGCTTCTAACAGCGAATCGTGTAATAAAATAGAGAGAGCTAACAATCTAAGTATTGACAGTATGATCACTGGAAAAAAACGTAGTATCGAAATAAATATGAAAATGTGCGAATCTCAATCCCTACGCTCTCACATCTTTCGTGGGAGGGTCTTTACAAAAAGACACAAAGCCTCGTTTCCAGGGTCCTCTCTTTTCCTCTCTCGATAACGAGGTTGAATAATGTCACATTCAAGTCGTACTGGATCCTTGAATGATAATTCACGTTAAAATAATCATAGATAAATTTTGGGGATCAATTTGTGAACTTACTCTATAATTTCAGTAGTTCTGGCCATCACCTGCTACACTTGCACACCAAACCCACCTACAGTGTCATGCACAACACTGGCTGATTTGAATGTCACCGATTGTGACGCGGATCCGACCGTACCATCAGGCATGGCTGACGTGTGTAGCAAAAGATTAGCTGTAGCGAAAATGGGGCAAATGAACCAGACTATGAATATGTTTAGCTGTGGAACAAAGGTAAGCTTTGATCCTGCGCAGTTAAAATATGGCTTTTTCTGCTAAACTGGTTAAGTTTATTAACGTTATTCAAGTCAAAGTTTTAAAAATTCCATAAAACTAAGATCTCGTCTCGTCATTTCGGCGTTATCACGACGCCTTTGAGAGTAGATAAAAAAGGAAAAAAAAGCGAAGCGACTGTTTCAGTGGATGGTGTAGAGGTACAGGGAGCATAGTTAGGGGGGGTGGTCCTGGGGCTGGGTATAAATAGGGGGTGATCCTAGGCATGGATATGGTGTGGTCCGGGGGTGTCTTTTACCCTTCTCTTTTATAGATAAGTTTGGCTCTCAGTCTATTCCATAAAAGCCTTCTGTAATTCAGGTTCGTGAAAACGTGCTAATCCGAAGAATCTTAATGGTATAGACCTTATAAGGTTCTATATGCCCCATCTATCTGTCCTTCTCACCGCTTGAGCTTGGTGAACTCGCGCTCAACGGCACATGAAAGAGCAGCAGTGTAAGCCACTCTCATGTAAGACGCGTGGAACTACGCCTTGTGGTGGCGTGGAACAATTTCAAAACAGTCCCAGTTTAGTTTAGAATTTCGACACAGTTTAAAACTGTTCTAAAATAATTTCTTGTGCACCAATCTCGGCAGAGAGGTGAATCACTTGTAAACAATCAAAGTTCTCTCACAAAATCTCGTTGCAAGTAACTAATTCAGAGGTGTGGATAAGTGTTTCGATATAAGAGGCTGGGGTGGGATGGGGAGTACAATAATAATTAAATCTTACAGGTTGCAAACAAACAAGTTTGTTTTATAATAAAACATTTTCACTTTTTCAGAAAGGATGGATGCTGACACGAAAGCTTTGACAATTTCTCCCACCTCTCTCAGCTTACTCCGTAAAAATGTTCAAGAAATAACTCTTTTCGACAATTACTATCATTTATTTATTTTTTCTTATTTCAATCTTTACACAGTCAATGTGCCAAGACTTCCAGGCAAAGTCATGCAATGCCTCGCTACTGCCACCTGGAATGACCTTTAAAAAATGCGAAGCCACGTGTTGTGAACAGAACAAGTGCAACGGGCTTGCAGAGAGCACCTCGCCAAGTGTGAATGCCGCGCCAAGTGTAAACGCTTGGCCAAGTGTAAATGCCTCGCCAAGTGTAAACACCTCGCTAAGTGTAAACGCCTCTCCAAGTGTAGACGCCTCGCCAAGTGTAAACGCCTCGCCAAGTGTAAACGCCTCGCCAAGTGCAAACGCCTCGCCAAGTGTAAACACCTCACCAAGTGTAAACGCCTCACCAAGTGGCCCGGTAACCAGTGTTCCTGTAAAAACTATGGCCACAGGAACCCCACCGAAGCCTTCTAGTGGTGCCACAACATACAACAAAGTTGTATCATTTGCCACCACCCTTACAAGCGTACTCTATGTGCTTTTTTGTATGTACTGACTTTGAGCAGTGATAATTGTAAGAGTGCTGAAAACAACGTTAACCAGGTGCTAGAGTCTGTTTGTTTTTGTTTGTTTTTTGCTATTTAAAGACAAATAATTCAAATTTCGTAGCCGATCAAATTTCTCATCTTTTGTAACTACTCTACATACAGTATAAGTGAACTAAGCGGCCACCCGCTAGATTCCCGCCTGTATCAAAGTTGGACAAGTCCAGTAAATTACATAGAACTGTTTTTATTGTTAAACACTAAATAGAACAGAGTGAGCGATCCGCGGCCTTTCAAACGGAACCTTTGAATCAATAAAACACAGATTTCAATAAGTCAACAATGTAATCTTAATTGCAATGGGAGAGAGATAAAGCGAAAATTTCTTATCAAGTTGTTTGCTTAGAAAGGGTTTCTGTAAATGAGGTGCTTAATTCTAATGTCAGCGTCTGTTCAGGAAGGTTTGTGTCAGTGTAAGTTCATTTTTCCAAAAAAAATGGTAGATTGATAGATGATCAAGCTAATAAAAATGTTGGACTTGGGACGTATTGTTTTCCTTATACAAGTTTTCGATTTGATTACCCACTAATGTCCGTACAGTGTTCATTTTAGCTGCTATTCTTTTGGCCTGTTAAGAATTCTGATTCCTTTTTATAAACTTTTCAGTAACTCTCCCCGCGTAGTAGTTCGTAACCTGTCTCATGAGAGAGTCATTCTAACTGCTATATTGATACGAAATTAATTAAACAGGCAAGCTGTTTTCCACGGGTTTTATGGTGATAGTTTGAAGAGGTTTTTGAGTATGAATTATCCGGTTTGGCGCCGCCATGATAAAAGCAAACAGCGACTTTTCCAGTCCGCGACACAAACGTTTTTATTGAGACAAAGTGCATTTTGACGACTTGTAATTATCGTATTTGCTCATTTCTAACGTACCATTGCGGTTGGAAGTTTTCGCTTATTGGTTTCATATTCATGTTGTTACGTTACGCGATCACCGTGGTGATGATATCAGTAGAAAAAGGGACAGCAAAGGATGATATTTACTCAGGTTACTCGGTCCATTAAAGTCTACATACTCCTAATTGCGCAAATTTGTCATGGAAAATAGCAGAAATTAAAACTTTAAAAAGGTAAAACCCAAATTCAGAAATTAATTATGTGAACAAAACTCCACTATTCATGTCATACATGTATACAAATTTTCCAGAAACTTTCCTATTTGTAAAGGAATCGATTTCATTGCACCTTTAAAAGCAGACGTCAGGACTGAAAGTATCACGAGAAGGAAATTTATTGACTCATTAATTTTTCTCTGGCTTTCATTTACCTTGGACAGCGTAATTGCGATCAGTTCTCTATAAAAAGCTGATGTGCAGCTGCATATCAGAATGTAGTACGTTTGATGCATTTTATCATGTGGCAGGAATTTGAGGCAGGTTGGTATTTCCAAATATCGCATTTATGAAGTTTGGCTTGGCCCGAAACAAACCTTTGCCAAAAATGTCTCATTTCACGACAGTAATTAGTTATGAATTATTGAACTATGCTAATATGAATTCAGTACCTAACGAAAAACAACTATTCCCTGTAGGCAGCCGTCGGCTAATTTACAGCGCTAAACATGAATTTTTTCTTGATTTGTGTTCTGTCTGTAACAGCTTCTTTACCTTGTGGTAGGTAGTTTTTTTATGTGCTTTGTTTTAATCAATATTCATTTTGATTTGAGTTATTTTGCTGTAGTTTTCTGTTAAGTTACGTCTACGCTAAATCGACCTGATAGCAGAACCAGCTCTTAGAATTGCTAACTTTAAAATATCTTCTTATCATTTTACATCTTATTGGAGATAATCGTTTTGGCTGTTCCTAACCCCATCTATCATGATGAGTGCTACGGAAATCTTGAAAAAAAAAAAAACCACTGGAATGAGCTTAGTACCATGATTTGTATGGCTGCGCACGATTTAAAGTTAATAGCAGGGAATAGATATGTCTCGAATATATCCTTTTTCTATAAGTGTCTATTATTTGTCGAATGTCACTAATGTTAAGAATCATGATTTATGAAAAGCTTATTAAGTTAAAAAGAAGGGCAGGGGAGAAATCTTGGCGGCAATAACAAATTTTCGCTTAAGATTACTACGCCTTCAGTTATAATTATCATACATGGTCGGTTTGGGAATCTAACTCTGTTGACGTTCAATGTATTTTTCATGATTGAGCTTACAAAAAAGAGATACAAAACGATTAATAATAATCATTACATGTAAACTATAACCTGTTTAAACGAAAGGAACAGTTTCAGCGTTAAGTATTTTGTGGTCCAGTACTTTTTTAAGTTTATGGTCAACTACCGCCTTGAAGCCATCTCAAGATATGAGCAAAATAATACATCCAGCCGATTATAAACTTCCCTGAATAATGGTCCCCGTTTATCTCTTCTTGTTTTGAGAGATAGGAACTGTGCTGTGAATTCGGCATTAAAATTAAATTCTCTTTAGACGAAATCATTCTATAATTTTTGTGCTAGGTAAAATTTTAATGTTTAGTTCGTTTGACATGCAAATCTTGTATCTCTTACAAGTGCTTACCGAATGAAAACCACACCTAAATCTTTTTACCTGATCAAGGTGTCAAACAGAACAAAAGCATTTACATAACAATGATGATTTAACCGAAGTTGATGCATCTAGGGATTAACATGTCAACAAAGAACGTTTTGGGGTTTGGTGATCATCAAAAGGAATAATTGGTGTTAGGTACGCAACTATTTTCAGAAGACAGTATTTGCTTCTTTCTGTGTCTTGCTGTTTGGTTCGTTTGATAGGACAGTGCTAAGTAACTTAAGAGTAAACTTGTGCAAGTATGTTAGGCAGGCTTTGTCAGTAAAAAGCTACAACTCTTGCCCCTCCACAACATTTTTTTTATATGAAACAGTCAGCTCTTGGGCTTTGTCCAAACCACACGTATGTACAGTAAATGCTCTGATACTATGCAAATGGTATATACTAGCATCATTCATTCGAGCTTGGAAGCGTTTCAGTACAAAAAAGGCTTGTATTTCAAAACAGGCAGTGGCGCGTAACTCTCTCTTTGCTTTATCGCTTGATTCAAAGATTCGAGAAAAGAAAAATCAATGAAAAGGAAAAAAATTATAGGGATAACTAGGGAAGGTTAGGCAAGTAGCAACCTGTTTTGTGTTTTGTTGTGTTTTTTTTTTCGTCTCCCTCTCATGGTTAGTGTCAGAACTGCTTGACGAATCAGCCACCCTTAAATTTTCAGTGTGTAATTAAAAAAAAAATTAACCTTTAAACAGGATAGGTAATTTCGACTCTCGGTACACATTTTAAACTGAAGCGAAATAGAATTAAAATTAGCGCCTGCTCAATGATGAGAAAGATTCCAATGGATCATATTACCTAAAAAATTGGTAACGCCTTTCCGTTTTGTGTCTACAGCACTGGGACTACTGTGCTACGATTGCACCCCAGGGTTACAGAACATGTGCACTGGTAACAACATTACCGTAACTAATTGCACGGGAATGTATGACGCATGCCAAACATCTGGATTGCAAATCAGTCTGAAGCTTCCAAAGGTAAAAATGGACATGAGAATGATGTCATGCAGCATGAAGGTAAGCGTGCTATAAAATAGTAACCAACAACATCAACAGAAATCTTATTTTCACTTTTTTTTTGTCCTGGTCGGCGGATAACATTTATCTGTTTACGTTGGCCAGTCTGTCAATGTCTAATACAAGCCATAAAAAAGATTTTAATAAGGCAAAAATACTACCAAAAAAAGCGGAAAGAAAAAAGTTAAAAAGAACGAGAGCAGACCTAACACCTAAGCAAAATTGTTTTTAGATATTTTCTGGCTTGTGTTGAGTTTCCCCTTACAATTTACGTTCTCTGTTAATCAGACAAGTTCTGAGATTCAAAAGGCAATTTTTCATTATGTGGTCCGGGGGTAGGGGGGTGCACTTAACCGGGATAGTTAGGGTGGGAAGGGGGAGGGGTGGCTGATTCTTTCAAACCGTTCGTTATACTACCCTGTGTAAGACAACGAATTGTGTTGATTATGGGAAGAATGTCCATAATGAGAAAACATCTTTCAAAGTTAGATAGATTTAGAGCACTTTTCGATTGAGTGTCGTGATAACAAAACTAGAGTAATCGCAAAAACCAATCAGAGAAAATGTCCCCGTGAGCCAATGAGAATTCAAAGAAGGCGACCAAGAAGAAATTAGTTTTTAGTTTGCATCTGATTGGTTGAGAGGATAGCAAGATAATTCTGGACTAATTACTAGGCAAGGTTGAACAAAACCAATGCAATCCCGGATTCGATATTCAATTGAAAACTTCCCCTCAAGCAATTTTTTCAACTCTACCAATGTAAACCACGCATCGCCAAGTCCCCACCCAGTTAAGACGCAAAATATCGAAATGGAAAACCCTGTGTCAAGGACTTAGAACCAGAATGAAAGCCTCAGTGAAAAGAGTGTGATTCCATAAGGCCTGTCGGTATCTCGAGAGACTGAAAATAAATAACAGACACTCCTGAGAGGTGACTTTTTCTTCCTAATAACATTGAAAAGATAGTAAATTTTTGGCTGGGTCCTCGAATAAAGACAGATATGATATGTTTTCCAATGAGCATGGAACGAAGAGAGAATGTGGGTCTTCGGCGAGGAATAGAATCAAATGGCCTTCGGAATTCGTGCTCCCATCTTAGTCCGCCTTCTTGTTAAAGCAGATAACATCAGATCCGAGAGCGAATACCATTTTCCTTTATTCTCTAAGATATTAGTTTTTTTATTCAACATTTCTAAAAATCATCACCCAGTCGCTTTTAACGAAAAGCTTGATTTTTTTTTCTTAGTCTGCGTGCTCCAAAATAACCACAGACGGCTGTAAAAATGTGACGTCCTTAACCAAGGCAGTCCCAGGCTCCAAAGTAGATGCTTGTGGCGTCAGTTGCTGCTATACCGATAAATGCAACACCAAAGACCTCGTGGTACTTTCGAAACCCACCGCTAAATCCGTGGCACCATTCTCTGAGGTATCCTTGATTATCAACCTGCTGGTGTTCCTCTTGTCAGCTGGAATCGCTGTTACTGCGATTTAGTGGAAAGAGGCGAGCTCAAAAGGCCGCCACTTTGGCTTTCTGCAAGGTCGTGATAATAACTCGGGATTTGGTGTGCTAACCCTCAGCAATTATTTAAGTTTGTGATTAGTGGTATTTTTTCAAAGCGTGATTATGCTGCTTCATTTTAGAAACGTTTTTCAAGTACCAATCTGGTAAAGAAAAATAACAGAGGTTAGGAAATCTAGACAATGGTTTGTCAGCTCTACGCTGTCAAAGATTTTGATGTTTATGATTCTTTGTGTTCTACTGTTTATTTTTAAATTTTTATTAAGTGCACTTGATTATTTAAATTGAGTTTTCACCTTATATTACTATTAAAGAGCGCGTAAATCAACTTATTTCTATCTCTACTTCTCTTCTAAACGTATTATTGACCCCGAAATGGGTGGATACTTGGGGGGTCTTTTACGAACTTTTGATCGCATACAGTCGACCACTGCGCATCCTTAGTTTTGGCCTTCGTTCGCTTTGATATTGTTTTATCATTTTGTTCATAGAAGACATGGAAATGGTAAACAATTTCCGCCATGAATACATAATTTTGTAGTCAGTCCGAAAAAAGAAAATCCGTCGTGTCATTTCAGTAAAGGTCTCTTTTAGGCTGCACGAAAGGTTAAAAAAACAAGATATCCTTCTTTGAATTATAAAAACCAAAAATTAGTGTAGTGCACTACAAGATGCTTTATAACATATCTAGTAAATTTGTCTAATCAAATTCAACTGCGTGAGCGTGCTTCATATTTCTATTGTGCACGCTCATGGCGTCAGCAAACAAATCCCTCGAGAAAAAAATTTTCTCCGCAATTTTTTACTTTTACATCGGGTTGAAAATGTTATAAAACAATTGGTTCATACGTCAGCTGTGCGTTCGTCGAAATATGAGGCACTTGGGAAGTTTGGAGAGCACTTAAGAAGCTAGAGCTACTCTTACGCATCTTTCGAGCTCTCCAAACTTCCCGCGTGCTTCATATCTCGATGAACGCACGAACCAATTGTTAATTAGAGCAACAACAATTACAAACGATACCTCTTGCATGATTCCAGCTTCCTGCCGAAAAATTAAAAAAATTTGACGGACTACAGTATAATCACATGGAGATACATAGGAAACTATCTAGCCAATTGCTCGGTGAGGAAGCAATTGACCACGGAGTCGATGCCAACATTAGCGTTTGTTTTTCTATCTGTTTCGCTCTTGATATCTACTGTCAAAGTTCAAATGACCCTTTGACTCCCAAGATCTAATTGTGAACTTTCCCCAGTAGCTATTACACATTTCCTTGTAAATTTAGTGTTAGCTCAAGATAACAACTTCTACCTGATAAATTTGAGTATTCTCGTTACCTGTTTGCTGGATGATCTCATGTATGGATACTATAACAGAGTAGAAGTTACCCTCTAATCACTTCTGAGAGTTAAAAGGTTCATTCCTGTATAAATACCTGGGTGGACGGTTTCTATCAAGCTGGCACTTCAAATATCCTTATTGGTTTCCGTTAAATGACTCATTTCAAAAACTTCTGGGGTTTTCACTGAATCGAACTGGTGTCATCGTGGCGTGCGAAGGTTGAAAAGCCGTCACCATTCCACCGAAGGAATCTGTCACGGAGACCTGGTAACTACATTAATCTCAATTCAAACCATGACGTCAGGGTGTGATGGTTCATTGCAGCTACAGAATCTGGAAAGACGCGACCAGAGGATTAGTGTCTTGTGAGGATTTATTTCTATTGATACGATGAAAGGCTCAATCCTGATTAGTGTACTGCTAATTGCTCTTCCATGTGGTAAGTACTAGAATTAACTGAATTACTTTAAAAAAAGCCTATCAGTTTTAATGCAGAGAGACATTTGCTTGTTTGATTTCCAGTGCTCGCTTTTGGAAAACATATTAACACATTTATATGACGTAAGGCCTTATTTTTTCAAGGGTAGAAAATTTATATCAGTAAACATTGTTCAAAAGCTAATAAGTGCATGAGATTCATTCTATTTTGCTAAATCACACACAGATTTACTAAGTTAAAATCTCTAAGATTATCAGTGATTCGGTATTTCAGTCAACATTATGGAAAACTTCCAATTTTCTGGTCTGCTGTGGACAGCTTGACGACTTGTATTAAGGTAGCCGATGTGTTTAAGCGCTGTTATCCAAAAATCCTGGAAATTTTCTTGTTTCAAGGTTTAAAACATTCTTAATCCACAGTCCTGCTGCAAAAGCTTTTAACGTTTTCACATAAAAGGCGTTGAAAAGCGTTATGCTAATTTCAGTACTCCCGTTGTTGTGACCTCTTTGATTACTCAAAAAATAACACGCCTTACTTAATATTCTGTTGCGACTATCTAAGTAAAAAGAGCAATGTTTAAATATTTATTTAGGGGCAAGTTTTATATAAAAAATTTCAATTCAAATATATATACAGACATTGCGGACAGAGCCTTGTTACCTTTAGTCATTGCTTTCTGAAGACTTTTCTACAATGATACTTAAAAAATAAAGAAAATATTCGCTAATTGCACATTTCGCGGCGAGGAATTACCCTAACAGTCAAGGGTTTCAACAAAATTATCTCTTTGTTATAAAGCAGGTGAAACAAAAAGTGTCATTTTTCAAGATATTTTCGCAAAGAAACCAGTGAACTTATTTTTTGCCGCGCACCATTCCTTTAAGAAGCTCATACAGCTTGCGGTGTAAAGAATAAAGCATCTTCTAATATAATAATGACAACAAGTTTAAGAAGTGACTCATGATAGCTTTTGTATTCAAAGGAAAAGATATAAAAGTGTATGAATTCAATTGTCCGCCGGCGCCGTCGTCGTTTGCAGTTCGTTTTGTTGCTGCCTAGTCTTGTTTTTATTTCAGACTCTGTAAACTCCAATCATCTTCTCAATAACAAGTTTTTCGAAAGGAATCATTTGTGATAAGGCACCACTACCTTTGAGCTCTTGATTGTAGTTTGTGGTAACAACACACTGCTAACAATGAACTTACTAACGAGCCACGGCTTCTTTTGTGAATCAGACCCAAAGGAAGATCCAACACGTACCAAAAAAGGATACAAAAGATGGCGGCTCCTGTGTGGTTACTGAATAACACTTGGCCCGCAACAAAAAAGCACAAAACAAAATGCCAGCGTTTTGTCTTGAAAAGTACCGCATTGTATGGCAATCCAGTGGTTTGAGACCACAAGAATGTTACGGAGCCTCACCGTTTTCGATTGCATTTCCAAACACAGAATTTGGTGTGCAACTTTTTTTCCCGCTGGTATTGAACACGCAGCAAATCAGGGTAAAATTTCCGCACAGCCCCATACTATTGTAAAACAAATCTGTTTTCCCAATGGCAATCTATTGTTTTTGTCATTGTTTCCTCTATCCAAGAACTGAATGCATAATGTAGTATGGAGCTGTGCGGAAATTTTACCCAAATCAAGCCAGGTGTTTGAATAAGTTCTTCTACTGCGTATTAGCGTCACCTTGGACTGTTGTTTTTGCAGTGTGTTTTTACTGATAATTTATTGTAAGAAATTCATTTTTAAATCTTGCACATTTGATAAACCAGAATCATTTTATGGTAATTTGCATGTTGTTAAAGAAATAGTAATAGGTTTATCAAATAAACTCTTTCTTCGAGTGTGTGATTGACATTCAGGAATTGGCTTTTTTGTTCCAAATTGTTTTATCATGATGCCTGTTCTAAGCAGACCACAAATGAAGCGAACACCAACAGATGTCCCGACTTTTGCCGACTCTTCATTCAGCCCACACTTTCCTATTTCTGTATTTAGCGGACACCGTAAAAGCTTTTAAGTAGAGATTTGAAAAAAATTAGAAAACAAAACCACGTTTCATATATGAAGTAATAATATTTCCTGTGAATTGAAATTTCAGCTCTTGGAATAAAGTGTCTCAGCTGCAAGTTTGGCGGACTTGAGTCTATGTGTGATTCAGTGTCAAATAGTTCCTATACTAACTGTACGGGAGTTCTTGACGCATGCGTGACCACCGGAATGATGGTCAAGTTGAAACTTGGCATGGAAAAGCAGGCGTATACTATGACATGCGGGCAAATGGTAGGTTGAGTATAACTCTGGGAGTTCTTCAGACGGTTAGTCTTTCGGTCGGTCTGGTTAATTGACAGTGAATCAGTTAGTTTGGCCGGCTAGACATTTTTCACTCATTCAGTTAGTCAGTCAAAAAGTTAAACAATCTGCCAGTCAGTTAGTTACCTAGTCAGTCAGTCACTTAGCCCAACAGTCATCAAGAAGCCAGCCAGCCAGTTAATCATACCTTCCCTCCGTCCTATTCAGATTTTAAATCACCTTGCTTTTCTCTTTACAGACCCTTTGTTCCAAACTTGAAACGGAGAACTGTGGTCCTGAAGGCGTAAGAAAGTATGTTGACAAGATTCCAGGAGTTAAAGTGACCAAGTGCGGAGTAGCCTGCTGCCAGACAGACATGTGCAACAACAAAGATCTTGTTAAACCAAAACCATTGCCGCCAGTGGCCTTGGCTGCTTTTACGAGCGCCTCTCTTATGGCCAGCTGTATCTCGCTTTTGTTGGGATTTGCTCTGATGGTGTAATCTCACTTACCTAACGCAGTTTTTGACACGAAGATTTTCAGTCAAAAGCTGTAGAAAGTAGCAAGTTCTTTTTATTCCACTTTTTCATATATTATTTTGATTGTAAGGACAGGACTCATTGATATTTCAAGGAAAAAGGTTTAAGCAACATTTCTCATTTCATAGGAAAGATGTAAAGATTTTTTCCCGCTTCGTGGTGAAAATCTTCTTTCCGTTCATAATTGTTCTTGTATCCAACGCTTAATAAATGTAACACCTTTACTGTACAGTTTCTCTTACATGTTAGTGCATGCATAACGTTTGGAATTATTATTCTTTGTAGAAGATCTTAAGAAAGATACCGAAGCCACAATGCATGATTCTGGTAGCGCGTTTTGACTTGAAACCATTCAAATCCTGAGGAAGCCCTTAGTAGGGTAAAAAAAAAAGCCTGTTACGGACTAAAAGATTCTAAGCAAATACCATGGAATAATAACTTTTATCGTTAACATCTGTTTGAAAACCTCTGCAATCAGTGTCTACACTATCAAACAAATTGTGGCTCTGTCCAAACTGGAAAGTTTTCACGAAGCGTGAGGCTGGGTAACCAAATCGTTAGTAAAGGGTAAATTCAGAATCATCAACTGACTCGCCGTTTACACGACCAATGAAACCGAATCGTTTTGAAAACGCTCCTTTTTTGAAAGCTAGTTTTCAGAACGACCCGGTTCTGATAACGAACTCGACCGGCGCCGTGTAAACGAAAGGCGTGCCCGCATCGAAACCGATGCGGTTACAAATGAAACCGCCTCCGCGTAAACGGTGCCTGAGTAGATAACGTAAATTGGCCACCGTAAAAAGTTTCAAAGCTGACGTTTCGAGAGTTAACCCTTCGTCAGAGCGAATGGAAGAAGGCTCTGGCTAACGGCTAACGCTCGAAATGTCAGCTTTGAAACTCTCGACGGTGTTCAATTTACGTTGTCAACTTGGTTTATAATACCAAATAACGAGATCATTACTTGTTTAATTGTGGGATGGGTGGGTTAGTGAGATAGTTCTACATTATAATCTGGACAGGTCATCGTTCCTTCAGTTGCACCCAAATTTTGTTTAGTCCAACAAACTTCTCAACAACCTCGACAGTATTCTTTTCGCAAAGTAACTCGTCATCAAATTCTTGTGAATTGTCAACTCTGCGCCAAAATGTTTCTGAAAACGAAGACAATATTCGATTTCTGATGAGTCACTAGCTTGAAAATACTCAAAACGGAGGGCTCTAGGGCAGAAATTAATTTTAAGACTGAAGACGACTGACTGTGCGTATTGTTCTGGAATACAAAGCGGTCGGTTTTGTTTATCCTGTTTCATCTTGTCGTTAGCACTGCTTGCTCGATTTTCTAAGAATAGAAGTGCCGTTCTCAGGGTTTATTTGCGGAATTATATTATCTGCAAAGAAGTTTCAAATCTTGGTGCGCGCGTGCATGTGACAAGCCTCATATATCAAGACGGATTCCCACGCGCGCTCGTGCTTGAAGTAAAAGTCCTTTATGAAGTATAATAAGCATTTCATTGTAACGTCAAAGTTTCGTTCATTTTAAGATTTGCTTTTGTGTGGTTAAAAAAGAGAGGGAAATAATCTCGAGATAATTGAAATGCGATTCGTTTTTATTTGTAGCAGGCTGTTCTGCCTTGTTTTACTGGTTGCTTCTCCTGCTGAAGGACCAGGTAAGAAAAGTGTTTTCCGCGAAGTACAGTTCGGGAAGAATAAAACTAAATTTCATCTGTTAAGTCACTGAATGCGGGTTAATTTGAACTAAGCTGCGAACGTTTTCATTTACTGGCGATTTAAATTCTAAAATCCATTTAGAGAACAAGTCATTGGTTAATTTGCAAATCAACATTGCTTCCCAAGTTGTCTTTTTTTCTGATTTTATCCCTGTCACCCAAGGAATGCAAGAGTGTCCGAGATTTCGAGAATCCATAACGGAGAGTATCCAGTCCTTCTCGATTACTTTGGCAGTCTTAAATTAGTTAGTTTAGTTGTACGGGATATAAAATTCTAATTTTGGTCAAGAAAATGCCGAGAACTTTTTCGGCGCCGACTGCGGCATAAAATGCTAAGCCTTTCAGTACTACTGAGTAGCTGGTGACGTTATGAGAAATAGCATTCATAAACATGCGCATGCGCCCTGATGCGCGGATATTAACCAATCGTTTTCAGTCAACCACAGTTTCAAACGGTTTCAACTTGTGTAAAGCAAAAACTACACTTATAAAGTTTCCTAGGCAAGCACTGTTGTAAAGAAACTTCAATTCTGTAAATTACTCAAACACACTTCCCTAAAAGGAAATTTACTTTTGTCTACTGAGTAAACTTGTAATAATGGATTAGGCAGAATTCATTTAAGACTGTACGTGCAAAACCTAAAAGTAATGCGCCATTCTTTTTTGTAAACCGTTATAAAAAGTGACTCGTTTTTTGTCATTCATATCATGCAGGAATTTTCGTACTACTAGCTTATGGATCACACAGGTGACTGACTGGACACTAGACTGCATCTTGGACGTAGAAATTAGTAAAATACAGGATAAGTACGATTGGGGAATGAACTATACTCAGAATACTAAAATTATGACACGCTTTAAAGGAAAAAAATCTGAACATCCTTAAAAAAGGCAAGTCACGAATCATTAAGAAAAGACTTCTGAATGTGTCCTGGAAGTTGAGTGAGCAAGTTGTTTGGTATTTTGACGTAAAGCTGAGTTTTACAATCGTACATAGCGCCTCGGCCTAAATACCCGTACTCTATCTCCAGATAAGCTTTGAGGTCGTTCATACCAGTAACTTCCAGCCCTTCAAAAGAGTAGGTTTTTATAGGGAAAAATATTGATTTTGGGAAGGCTTTCTTTTTGTAATCGTAGACACCCGGTAAATTCCAGTTGACACAGAAGCATTTCGGATCATCGGGATGTTCGCTAAGAGTAAAAACATCCACATGTGCCAGGCCTATATCAAAATGTTCATCGGTCTCGAATCCAAACTGTCTGAAAAGCTTTCTAGTGGCAATGAATTGTATACGTTTCCCTCCGACTCCGCAAAATGGAATCTCCTTTCCTCCTCCATCAAACCAGCCTCGCTTGCGAAGGGAACATTCATCCGACATTAAAACATCACCGTCTTTCAATGCCGGAAATTTATCAATATTGCGGACAACGTTTGAGAAATCAGTTTCAAGAATAGCCACATCTATATCGCCATCGTGTTTGATAATTTTTCCACCTTCACGATAAACAGCTAGGGCTGTACCACCATAAATAAAGTAACTGACGTTTACCCTATTAAAGTAGTCTGCAACAAGTTTCATCAGATAGACTCTCAGTGGTTTAAAACTTTCATTTTCTTTCAGCTTTTGTTGAAAGTTGCCGGCGCGACAACTTCCCCACATATCAAGACTGAGGTGTTCTGCTGATTCTTCTTCTTGGAAAATGACATCCAGACCCAGTCTATCTGAGATATTCATGCCAGAATCCTCTGAGGAGGCCTGGTCTGGCATAGACATGCTTCCTGTAAAAAAAAAATTACGGACAAATGAGCCGAATTTCTGAAAATTTAGCAAAAATAACCAATATTACTTCTAAAAGGGGGAACAGGGGGAGATGTGGTGGCGTATTGGTTAGTGTCCTGGACTCTGGGACAAGAGGACTAGGTTCGAGTCTTGGCTGGGTTCATTGTGTTGTGTTCTTAGGCATAATACTTTACTTTCACAGTTCCTCTTCCAGCCCGGGAGTGTCATGAGTATTGATGCATTGTCAGGGAAGCCTTACAAAATGCTGGGGAGGGGGGGTAAGGTGACCTTTTGATGTACTGGCATTCTCTCCAAGGAGGGGAGAGTGGCAATAATCCTACTATAGTCGCTTCATGCTAAGGAAACTGGGTTAAGCTCCAGCTGGATGGGCCACTTAGCTCACTTAGCTCATATATAGACTTTACCCCCCCTTCTTTCCTTTTTTTTTGTACTTTTGAAAATAAGATACCCAGAAGGCCAATCAATTGTCTATACTTTGCTTCCATGCTATTTCAGAATTGATTGATTAATTGAATCTATGGAAAATGAATTTCTGAAAAAAAGAAACATTTTCTCAGTTATCATACAGCTATGAATAAATATAGTTTACACACATCCCAACCTCGAAATTAAGTTTTCTTCAATATTCCTTGACTAGGCATTGTTAAGAAAGACAGTCAGTTCATAAATCAATCATGCAATGGTAATGAATGTTACAGTTGATCAGAGATTATTATCATGTGTTCATGCTTTCATAATTCAACTGCAAAATAAGAGCATGCTACTGAAATGGAATTCACATCATGCAAGTTGTCGCATACCCAGGAAATCTCATCTGCTCAGTTTACCCTGTAATTATCTCTTTTTGTGTTTTAACTTACCAGAAATTGTAGGTTAAAATATGTCAAGTGAATATATACCAAGTGAAATAAACCAACTGAAAAAAACTCTTTACGCAGGGGTAGTTATAAAATTAACCCAGTGGCTGTCATCAGTGATGAGTGGGGAATCCCATAGTCTAACCACTCTCCAGGGGCAGGTTGATTGAGGCATTTAGCATAAAATCCAGGATTAAAATAGTGGAATAGAGAAATAGAGGAAGTAGAATGCTCAAAATGTTAGCTTTAGAAACTTTTAACTGTGGCCAACTAATATCAGCAACTTATGCAACAGTGAAGATTGCTTTCAAATTCATTTCCTTAACCTGCAGTTCACATATATGATTTTTATATATTTACATTCATTTATCATCAACTTAGTTGATAAAACCAAACCTTATCTTTCATATTGCATCTTTCCACCCAAGAGAATAAATCTGTTCTTGTCAAATACCAGGAAAACCTCAAAAAATGAGGGGGAGGAGGGCTGGTGTACCTACAATGGATTAGAATCCCATCCAAGGGGAGGGACAAGCTCCAGCAAGGTGAGCAACTCAGCTCAATTGCCAACTTAATCTAACTTTTACCATTACAGAGTCTACCCTATATTTTGAAAACCTATCAAAGACAGAGTCAAGTCAAAATTTACTGCACACTGTTTACAAAGAAGTACAATGAAGATATCAAAAAGTAGCCACAATACAACTTTTGTTTGGGGAAAAAATATCAAACTAAATTACAAGAATACCTAATGGTGTACAGTGTTTGAGTTGGTCATTGTCATATGGTAAGGAAAAGTACAATTCATAAAAGAGAAACAAAATGACTATGACAGATTTCAGGTTTAAAACATGCTTTCAGGACATGCCACTTTAGTTATCAATGCTGCTGAATTAGCACATAGTACATCTTGTTTTGTTGAAACCAAGCACACATCTATTTTCCATATAAAAATCAAGCCCAGTTTTTTCTTGGGAGGAACTGTCAAATAACAATTTAAGAAGATTTAAGAAAGCAGATTACTTCAAAACTAATTTTTTGAATTGACAGTGCTTATAAGCAAATGCAAACTTTCAAGAATAGAGTAAGTAAAATGCTACTAGATCTCTAATAAAGAAAATCATGAAATTTCTTTAACTCTGTTGGAAATAAGAGGAAGAGAACCAGTTATGGCTGACTGATTGAATCACCTTACAAGAGGATTGGAGCAAGACAGCTAGCTCAAAGCAGGTAAATAACTGTAATTTGAACATTCTAGCTAGCAACAGTCCAAACAGTTTGAAAGCTTCCATTTAACTTATGTCCAGGGAAAGTCTCTATGAGAATCCTTAGACTTGCACAAGAGCAAATGTACATGTACTTGCCAAGTTTCCTAATTCAAATTGAAGTCTGAACATAAGCCTGAACATTACCAACATGTAACATTTACAAATATGGCAAAATGACACCATATGACCACAAGCTGGTGTTCAGTTCCTCAAACGGAAACACACCTTTGTGTTATCATCCACTAGACTAACAACAAGAATACTGGAAGTCCGAGTTATAATCTAAAAATTGTGGTGTATGTTTTTCATCAATATTTTCGATCTGCCAGTATTTGACACAAGTGATGCTTGTGACACGGCAGAGATGAGAACACACCTCGAATGAGTATGAGTATGATTGTGACTCAAATCCAAACTTGTTGGCCAAGTCTTCAAAGCATGGTCGACATGGATTCTAATTGCCTAAGTCCATGGCAGCTCGATATGAATTAGTACTCATCGTATTTAGAACAAACAACCCCTGTTTGAGCAAAGCTTTGTGGAACAAGGGCAATCCGCAGAAAAATAAAATCTAGTGGATTTTCACAAACCACACGCACGAGTATAAACCTCTCCAAATTTAGCACACAACACACGACTATTCCAACGATATTTGCTGTCTCTTTCGATTCTGCATCATGGATATTTTACATGACTCTCCGTGCTTACAGTACTCGGTAAAATTTCCGCACAGCCCCATACTACATTATGCATTCTGCTCTTGAATAGAGAAAACAATGACAAAAACAATACATTTCCATTGGGAAAACAGATTTTTTTTACAATAGTATGGGGCTGTGCGGAAACTTTACCCAGTACTCAAATAGTTTAAGGTAAAATTTTACCTGGTTAAATTCAGATTTTCCGCGATCAGCGCTTTCAGAATCCTGCTAACGCTCCAGTACACACTCTAAACAGCAGCGTGGATGCAAATGAGTTTAGGGATTGCATAGATGAGCCCGCGTTCTTGGTGAAACTGATACCGGTTTCCTTATCAAAAGGTGTTTAAAACACACAGAATACTTGCCTTCTTTTATTTAGTAGAGGTTCTTTCATTTATCATTATTTGCAGCCATTTTGGCAAAAGAACGTCTTCCATCATCATATCGGCAGGTTCTTTACAGCTTTCAAGGAAAGTTCTGCGAACGATTTCCGCGCTTACCGGAAGACAAGGAGAAAGCATTTGAGAACAAGAGCCCATTTCTTCTTTATTGGTGCATGTGATGAATGTCATACCTTTCACGTGCTTTTAAATCAATTCTTGTTGCTTTCTACTAAGATACATGCTTTTGAGAACTTTGATTTGTGACTTAACCGACCCCGAATTAGAAATTAAGTCCTCCTGCCCAACGCTTGAGCAAGGATATGATAATAAGGATATGATGATAAGGATATGATAATAAGGATATGATAATAAGGACATGATAATAAGGACATGATAATAAGGACATGATAATAAGGATATGATAATAAGGATATGATAATAAGGATATGATAATAAGGATATGATAATAAGGATATGATAATAAGGATATGATAATAAGGATATGATAATAAGGATATGATAATAAGGATATGATAATAAGGATATGATAATAAGGATATAATAATAAGGATATGATAATAAGGAGATAAGAAGGAAGAAAAGCCGGAAGGGCTAGCAACAAAAACCGCCCCCGTCCCTCTTAGCTCAAGGTCTGGATCCGCCATTGAACATGGTGGTGATCTGCTTGAATGTAATCTTTTGACTGTTGCCTTCGAAATTTTTAAATGTCAAATGTACCCTCCTTCAAGAATTTATTTTTTTTAACCCAATGCATGTTTAATCCTCTAATTTTCTAGAAAAACGATCGCTCTTTTTGTCACAATTACTTTTTAGTGTCTTCCTCGCCAAAGCTATCTATGGCATAACTACAAAATACAATCCAGGCATAGACTGCATGAAGCTCACTTCGCACAAGAAGAAGGCTTTGAGATTTTCACGTTGCCGTTTATCTGAGCAGATTGAAAATCAGGCCACGAAACCACGTCTCCCCGTCCTCTAAAGCACCACTTGGAAATCTTTAAGACTTTTATGGCAGGCAAAGTGCGGCTCCAAATGTTAAAATTAGCCAGTTCGCCAATAAATGGCACGTTTTTGAAAGTTTTGTCAGGTTTTTGTTCTTGACCGAGCACGAATGTTCCCCCAGGGGGAATAACATAACCGACTTTAAAACGGCTTCTATTTGATACCGCAACACCATCCTTGAAAAACGACCACGCCCCATCAGAGTTGTCCCATATGGTGCAGGTGTGATGCCATTTCCCATCGTTTATTGTCGCCATAATTTTCCTGCGGAAAAAGAGGTTGAAATTGACAAGTGAATTACACTTAAAAGCCTCATGCTATTTGTAAGAATGGCCGGCCACAGTGGGCTTCACAAAGCTGTCACTTTAAAATAAATTCGCACAGTATTGGGAGAAACTTCAAGTCGAAATTGAGTGCCTTTCATTCTTATTTTCTTTCATGGACAATAATGACAAGATAACAAGTGAAATACATGGAGAATGACTCAATCACTGCAAGGCAAACAACAAAATAAACTTCCAGTGAAAATACAAATCCTTCGTTTTTGTTTGATAATGAATTTGTTTTCCTTCGCATTTGCAATTTGTCCATGATGATGGCGACCTTGGTGTAAATATCTACTTTTGTTACTGTTTAAACAGCTCCTCTTCTTTTGTTAGTTTTTGTTTTTACTTTGTTTTACTTTTTTTCACTGCAAAGGACTAAGTATAAGATTGATAAAACAAATGTCAACATTTATAACATTTTGTCACCGGAAAATGTAATTACTTTACAATTTCATAACGACCACAGAAGGTGATTTCAACTATAAAGTGAAGGCTTCGTATTTTGCTCAGAGGTGTGGTCTGTAACAGTGTGTTTCGTAATTACTTAACATTTCATAACGACCACAGAAGGTGATTTCAACTATAAAGTGAAGGCGTCGTATTTTGCTCAGAGGTGTGGTCTGTAACAGTGTGTTAGTGCTTCAGTGATCAGTCTGTCCTTTTGTCCCTTCATCCATCAATTCATCAAGTCGCAACAGCTCGGTCGTTTGAGTAATTTCTTACCTTGAATTTCCTCCCACAGTAAGCAACAAACTGTTCCTGTCGACGACTTGCAACATTAACTCTATGATTCCTTTGGAACTCAGGTAACTAAAGATGGTCAGACGATCTCTTGTCGCGTTAAGCCAGAAGCAGAAACTTATCTGTGACAAATGGACCATCGGGCCCTGCTTCTGAACGTAGTTATCAGTTGTACCAACAGATGGAAAAGAAAAACTGAAATCTGGAATCGGATAGGGAAATGAGACATAACAGACTTTCTTCCGTCATTCCCGTGTGTCCGTCTGTCTGTCTGTCTGTCTGTCTGCTATTCGTTCTGACGAAGGGATTATGCTCGAAACATCAGCTCAGAATCTCTTTACTGTGGCTAATTTACAACATCAACTTAGTTGATGAAACCAAATTATCTTGTCTGTCTGTCTATCTGCTTAACCACCCAGAGATAAGAGAGAGACGAAGACAACGTGCTCAGTGGAAAAATGGCTTCGGGGCGTGGATAGACAGGAGTTTCTTCAGTGGAGAGAAAAGGCGGCTAATCCTAGACATAAATGTTCCACGGCAACCCCAGGAAAGAACCTTGCGAAAAATCCGGCTCTCAGAGACGCCATTGGGGTTCATGCTTGAATAAAGGGTAACTTGAGCCAAAATTTTGACCTATTTAATTGGTTGATTGACTACGGATCTATCCATTTATCAATTTTTGGTGTAATTTCAATTCTACCTTTGACATATAAGAACCTACTCCTGTTTCCATCCTCACTGTCTGTGCTTGATGACGGATCACAGATATTAGCATCCTAAAAGAAATTCCAGAATCAATGATTAGATCTGTCAGATCTGTCAGTACACAACTTTGACCCATTCAAACAGAAAAGTAAATCCGTATCACTTATTTCAATCAAATGAAGCCTTTTTTCTTTAAGTAGACAGTAGCATTGTGAAACAGTGGTTGAATTCGATATGCTTTCCGGGTCACCTCTGAAAAGACCTATGAGCTTTTTATACAGAACTGATTTTTTGCCAATGAGAATTTTTTCATGAACGAAGCAAGTGTATATTTTGCTCAACTCGCCGCAAGGGTCTCAGATTTGGCTCCAGTCCTTCACTTATGAGAAGGCAACATCCTTCTATAACTCCCAGTATGCTTCAGAATTGCTGTCTGAATTTTGTAACAATATCCGCAAGTTCTCAAAGCTTGCCAAATTTGAGCAAAAATTTGACAATTTCTTTCGACTCAAGTGACGTTTTGGATGTATTCACAGATATCAGGTATCTTTGGTTGACATCTGTGGCCTGAAGTTTTATAAGTGCTCTAAAATCACTCCCGGTCAAGTTCTCCAAAACATCCTCAAATACGATGGAAAATAAATAACCTTACCTTTTTCGAGGTTAACTGCTGAAAGATCGCTCCTTTCAAGTACATCAGAGAGCTTTTTTGGTCGCATAAACTCTCTATTCCACAACTCAGCATTTCACAGACTCCAAGATCGTCCGAGGAACGATCGAAATTGTAGGAAACACAAATCGGATCGTTGTGACATTTTATAATGCAGTTCAACCAGTCTGTGTCACTTAAAGAGCGATACACATGCCTAGATCCTGCACGGGGCACCAATATACGATTAGAAAACGTTGCTGGATAAAAAGCTAGTGTTGCGCCTAAAAATTCAGTAGTGGAAAAGAACCAAATGTAAAGGATTATTTCTGTAATAATAACACTGCTAAAGCATCGACCCCCGCGCTGTGCACGTGAGAAAAGCACAAAATACATTATGAAGTGCCTCTTGTAAGATAAAGAAATTGCCAACGAAGCTCTTCCGATCTTGAGTTACACAATCACTCTTCACAGTTGAGCATTTTAGTAATGTGAGGTTCCCCCTAAGCTGCCCAACTCACCTGTCAGCTGTGTTTGTTCCTGTCATTAGAGTAAATTACTTTCGCATTAAACGTCAAGGAAATGGAAAATGCTTTGAAAAAGGGACAAACATCTGTGTAAACGCGCTTTTGTTTAACTAAAGAAAAAAAAACTGTTTTCGATTCGAAGCTAAAAAACGACTGAATTAAAGCCTGGCTTTTTCAATCCCCTAATTTTGACCCGATACTAATGTTTTCGACGATAAAACAGAACACGGTTGATAACACTTCGCTATGAATTATTCGATTGGTCGATACTCCGGCACTTTTTCGTTCTCCTTATTAAAAATACCCTCTTACGTAAATCTCTGAAGCCAAAGTATTTTTCGGGAACACTCCTTGTCGCCTGATCACGTTTTATGATGTAGAAGCCATCCAACAATTTTGATACTTTTTCAATCAAAAACTAAAATTCCTTTTTATTGCTACACAGTTTGTATGGCCTCTTCATTTGATATACATATCAAAGGGAGGGGACGAGACAGGATACGGTGGAACTGATTCTTGATTAGTCTATGCTCGAGGTCACTGAGGGTCGGTGTATATTCGTGTCGGAGAGTGAGGTGAGGGAAGGAGACGTCTCGGGACTGATGTTATTCGATTGTTTTTCGACAGGTTGCCTCTCACAATAACTACAAAAATATTTCGATCCCCACTTCGACCTAGGATTCGTGCGGGGTTTCAAGTTCTCAGGTTTAGTTGGACATAACTTTGCTGCGATTGCTTTTCGGCGAATATTATAGCGCTCAGTTGAGGATCAGCACAAAAAAAGAAAAAATCCAACTTTTCTTGAAGATATATAGATTTATAATTGAATACATTGATGAAAATAGCCGTTAAAGACATTCTAAATTTTTGAGTACCAACAAAAAAGGTTGCGATTTTGCGCTAGATACCGACATGCACACTGGGTCTAATTTATTTCTCCTGTTCTCGAGTATTAGGAGAGGCGAATGAACTATATCTGCTCATTTTTCAAAGAAGAAAGTTGAAAAAAAATACGCTTTTATTTCGGCTAAAGAAAATATACACTGGGGAAGGCCATTGAAAGGTCGAGAAGGATTTGACCAGGATTTGACAGGGGTATCACTTTGTTTTTATTTCTCACGTGAAAAAGCTAGTGTGTGGTTTTACGTTTTTCGGGGTTATAGCTCAGTCAGGCAAAACGCACGAACCGAAAGACATTAATCTTAAATGTGTTTGCTCAGCTACAAACCGAAACCTAAACTTTATAATAACTCAGGGTTTCATTTTTTAATCATTTTTTTGACTACCCTGAATGTAGTGATGTTTAGTTTTGCATACATTCCTGAAGCGCTGTTTAAGTCTACGAAGGTAAATTTAGTAAACGCTAGTAAGTTTATTCAGGCAACAAAACAATTTATTTGCCAATTTTATGAAGTTAAACTGTTAATACAAGATAGGGCGTCTGTTTAACTGTCTGCAGTGAACTTTTTTTCTTACAACATAAATGTGATTGATACGACCTTTACGCGATGAGAATATCAGAGCTATTTGATTAAAAATAAAGAGAACATCAAAGCAAACTTTTCAAAACTAAAAGAAATCTTCAGTTCTACGTATCGCTGACTAGCTGCAAAATTAGTTTTGATTCTTCAGCGACTAAATCAAAAAACATGTCACTGCTACAAGACTTTTAACAGTAAATGGTTTAAACTGAATGTATGTCTGATGCGGTCATCTCACATATGCGTTTTGCCACTTTCTCTACCTCGGACTGAAGAATGCTTTCATCCCTCAGGTAAAATATGTTGTTGTACTTTTCCATATTATCCACACCAGCACCAGCAATTTCCAAAAGCTCTATAGGATCTGGAGAGCCGATACCAACCACAATAATTTGTACTCCTTGCAGTTCAAGTCTACGGGCGACTGGGGCTGCGGGAGTATCAGGAGATGGAACACTTTGACTCACTTGCTTGCCGTCTGTCAAAAGCACAAGAACCTGGGAAGCAAAAATAAAAATGAAATGAGCCCTGCTATGTATTTAAATAAATGAATGAGTAAATGAATGAACGAACTAGTGAATGACGAATAAATGGATGAATTAAGAGACTATTCGATACTTATCGCCTGACGGAGGAGGGGGGGGGGGGGGGGGGGGTTATGGTTGTGTAACGATAAAGGTTATCTGATTCTCATAAGTCTCTGTAATATTTTATGAGCCCTTCTCATTAGCAGGTAATTTGCAATCAATTTTCTATAGCCTCTCTCTATAATCATTTGGCGACGACTGATTCCCCTTCCATTCCATTTCTTTCCCCCCCCCCCCGACGATAAATAAACAGCGACTGGTCCCTGATCACTTTGTATAAGAGTAACCAAACAAGATCAGTGATAAATGAGGATGGATGAAATCCATACCAGCTTCATTCCCAGGCTGCTTTCTAACACTGAAATGGTGAAGTGCTCTGAATACGAGCTTGAGGATTTAGACTGACCCCGGCGCCGATTATAAAAAATTCCTTATGACAGAGCTCAATGAAAGATTTTCCAAAAGCAACCCAAATTTATAGCCAAACCTGATCGTATCCTCTGGCTCCACCAGCTTCAGTAAACAATTTTTCACCCGCAAGTTCCAGCGCTCGATCTATGACTTTGTCACGAGTCGTATCATTCGAATTACCAGGGCCCCAGGACTCGATCAGTTTTAACATGTCTTCCTTGTATGTGGCACTTAACAACAGTTTGTTGAAATCGAAAAGTAACTGAGTGCGCTGATCGAACCCAATGACACCAATGTGGGTCATATCGTGATTGACAGGGAACTTATTGATGAGTGCCTCTGCAAACTTCTTTTCCAATCCCCACTCATCTTCTGTCCTTCTCTCCATCGTGATTCCAATGTCAATAGCTTTGTTGCATAAGGGTGGTGCATTGAGAACTGTTGATTCCAAACATTTTTTCTTTCTTAATCTTTGTAACCAGGCTCCAGCTCGTTTAGATTTGCAAATGACTACTTGATTAGGAACATTAGTTATCGCCTAAGAGGAGGGTTGGGGGGACGCCTAGGAGGGGTGGTGTGGGGAGGATTCCCCCTCTAAAGCTCTGTTGTATTCCAATGACCCCCTCACAGGCATTCAATTTTCTATAGTCTCCACTTTAGGCTCTGTTAAGGAAAGCTGATCCTCCCTCCCCCCTGTAAAACCATGTGATCCCCCTCAGACCCTCCGCTCCCCCTTCCCTCCTTCCAGGCGCAAAATAATAAGTGGTCCATAGCGAGGTGTGAGTTTTTTTGATTGTTTGTTTTTTTATCGGATCATTCACAGAGTGCATGTCCAAAAGCCAGTGTAGCTCTAAATATCAACTTGAAAATTATTCATTTTTTTTCGTTTTTTATAGTGATTGATTCTACAAACTCGACTTTCCAATGAGGAAGGGCAAGTTGGAAATGTCTAGAAACTGAAAGTCATCAGCTATACACATTTCTCACGTATGTTTAACATAATCTCTACTTTATCAATGTAAGTGACACCATAAAACAGGTATATGCTAACTGGTGAGTGCAGTAAAAACTATAAGAGATATTGTATTAGCATAACCTTAGCTATACAAGGATACCTTTCGCAGAGTACCTCGAGTATATTCGCTTACATGGATATCAGTAGGAAGAAACACGTATTTCCCTACTGTCAATTTTTATTTAGGAATTTCTTCCTCTATTCTTTCCTACTTATCTCTTCTCCCCGCCCATTTTTGAAGTTTCAAACGTGTCTTTTTACTCGTAAACTTATCGTCTCTCTCCAATCTCACGTGTTTATAAACGACTGACAACTTTTCCGTCTACTGCTCCTTTACAGCAGCAACCAAAATGAACGCATTTAACGATTTCTGCTGCAGATACATGATATGCCCAACCAAACAGGAGGGCTGAGTATGTTTTGTATTACCTGTGTTTCTCTTTAATTCCCTCAGCGCTTTCCATTTTGCAAAGCCTACTTTGGGGGCCTGACAAAATTGAATAAAAAAAAAACATGAATTAGAAATGTGGGGCAACAAAATGATTTGTACAGGCTACGAGGATCGAAATTGCGCTTCATACTTTCAGTTAAATAATGTTACTATTTTCAATTTCCTTGTTACTTTTATTGCTCAGCTTATTGAGTCATTTACTTACTTTTAATTTGTTTTTTCAGTTTGTGTACACTTTTGTTTTGCGAAATGGAAATGCGCGTTTATGGTTTCTATAATGCAGTTTTTTAATCTACTTTCATTTCTCAGTCAGAGATTTTTTTAAAGCATTTTAAAACTGATCATTCTTTCACTCTGAAAAGAAAAAATATCAAAATTATGTCAAAGAGTTTCCTAGAAGTATCATGTAGCTGCTCTTATTGTTGTTATCTGTATTTTATGCTCTCTCTGGCTCTGTAGGCGTAATGAGGTGTGATCTGTTCGAAAGAATCAACGTCGTTGTAAGAGGAATTGAAAGAGAGATTGTTACACTCAGAAATTTCACAATATGTGAATGTCCTCTAACCTTGTCTTTCTTGAAAAAGGGGAAGTGTTACCCAGAAAAACTTCAGTCTCAAATCGAAGGAAAAATACTGTGCATTTATGAAAGTTTAAAATGATCATGCAGTAGAATAATTCGTAGTGTTAGCTAAGTTATACAGAGTTAAATTTTATAAAACTCACCATTCTCTCGGCCGTGCTTAAAGCGATCAGCAGAAAAATCGCCAAAACTCTAATGTTAGCCATGTCGTGTGGTTGAAAGTAACTGCAAAATGAAGAATGAAAACTGCATTAAGTATAAAAGTTATTTTAACATAAGGCAGGTACTCAATCAACAGCCCATTGAGAATGTATGATCTGACCTGCTCTGTGCGTGATAAGTTAAACAAAGGAACTTCTTTTCTGCTTAGCACATTGAACACACTAACAG